CGAGAGCTGAACCCGCTGACAGCGGCGCGGCCTGCAAAGGAGGCCCCAAAAAAAAACCTCACCGGGAAACTTCCCTACAGCCCCGCGGATCGGAACGCCCGGAGGTCCCGCGGTGCCGCCGCCGCTCCGCCCCGCTCTGAAGGCGGCTGTCAGCGCCGGGTCCGGCCGGAGCGGGGCCTCCTTTGCAGGCCGCGCCGCTGTCAGCGGGTTCAGCTCTCGGCCCGCCGCTCCCCTCCCGCTGTCAGCGATCCTCCGCCCCTCCCGGCTGTCACGGAGCGCCCGCCCCGCCCGCGCACGGCCCCGCTCCGCCGACCGGAGAGCTCCGCAGCCGCCGCCGTTGGCGGGATCGCATCCCGCAGGCCGCACCCGAGCGCTCGGGGAGGGCTGCGATGCGGTGCAGCGCGGCGCGGTGCGGTGTGGTGCGGTGCGGCCCTCCCGGCCCCGCTCCGCTCCGCTCCGCTCCCCTCCCCCCGGGCTCCGGGCCCGAGGCGGTCCCCAGTCCCCGCCCGCCGCCCTCTCCCGCTCGCTCTCCCGCCCTCCCGCTCCTCACCGTGTCAGCGACAGCACGGCCGGGACCGAGGACGGGCTCCTCCTCGCCGCATCCTCCCGGCCGTCCTCGGGGACGGAGCCAGGGCGGGACCCGGACCGAGCGGCCGCCGCTTCGGCCCTGCTCCGACCGAGGCGGCGAAACCAAAATGGCGGCGGCTTCTGCTCCACCGCGAGCGAGCGCCCGGCGCCCCGCCCCCACCCCGCGCCAGGCCCCGCCCCCTCCGGCGGCCACACCCACCGCACCAGGCCACGCCCCCTCCAGCAGCCTGGGGGCGGGAGGGGGATAAAACGCGAGGAGGCCGGAGCTCTCGGGTTGGATCGCGCTGAGTTTTTTGTCCTTTCGCGGCAGCCGTAGTGCCGCGCTCGGCCCGCTCTCGGCCCGCTCTCGCGGGGATCCTCGCGGCGCGTCGGTGAGTGCCGGCCTGAGGGGAGCCGGCCCCGGGCCTGCAGGCCGCACGCCGCCTTCGGGCTCCGCCGTGAGGAGGCTCCGTACCTGCGGTTCGGGCTGAGGGGAGGGGAGCGGCGGGGTGCGGGTGCGGCCGGGCTGTGAAATTCTTCGGAAATCTGGGGAAGCGGAGCTGTGCGGGCTGTGAGGTGAAAGGACGCAGAGTTTCCTCATCGTCGCTCCTTGGTGTGCAGCTGCGGCCCTGGCGGTAACGGCTGTGCCGTGCAGCCCGGCGCTGCTTTGCTCGGTGGTGCTTCTTACCTCTGTAGCCAATGGAGCTGGCTGGGGTCAGCCCTGCCGCTGCGATGTGGTGTCAGACTGAATTTAAGCTCTCCGGGAAGCAGCGCTTCTGATCTGGGGGAAAATGTAGAAAACAAGGAAAACTGAACGGCCTCCTCCTTTCCCTGCAGAGAAAATGCTGAGAAGCGTGAAAGGATTCATTTGCCGCCCTCTGAAGGTAAGCAGAGTGGCAGCAGGGTGCTGCTTCACCCTTTGCTGGGACCCAGAATGATAAGCGTGACAGCAGGACGAGGGGAATGGCTGGAAGTGGAGGGAGGGCAGCTGGAGGCTGGGGGTCAGGGAAGTTGTGTGCTGGGAGAGCGGTGAGGGGCTGAACAGCTGCCCAGAGAGGCTGCGATGCCCCGTCCATCGCTGGAGGGGTTGGAGGCCAGGCTGGATGGGGCCCTGGGCAGCCTGGGCTGCTGTGAAACGTGGGCAGGTCGGTGGCTTTGCGGGCGCTGTGGGGTCGCAGCTTTGGGACCCCCGAGCTCCCAACCCAAACCATGCTGTGTTTCTTTGATGTGCTGCTTGGCCACGTGGAGCACAGGGTGCAGCAGCAGAGAGATGGGGATGGGGAGCCCTGCATCCTTTCTTGGGGTTCTTGGAGGCATCTGCAGCCCTGCACTCCCTGACACTGCTGGCACCAAGGGGCCTCGGTCCTCACAAATCCTCCTTTAGGGACTTGCTATGGTTCAAAAGTAATTTCTGGGCAGCCTGGGCTGGTGGTAAATGTGGAGGTTGGTGGCCCTGCATGGAATAGTGGGGGGTTGGAGCTTCATGATCCTTAAGTTCCCTTCCAACCCGAACCATTTTGTGCTAAGAAGTGCAATTCCTCTCATCTCACATCAATTGTGTGAAAATGTGGTGTCTCCCTATATGGGAAGAGAGGCAGCTTGTTTGTTTTCTTCCTTCTGTGTTTTGTTCCCTTGGTATAAATGTGAGACAGCAAATGTGTGAGCGTGCCTGGGCAGAGGGCTTGAATGGGACAACTGTTAAAAGCCCGAAATTGGGCATCCCATAATGCACAGAATGCAAGAGTTCTCCTTCTTCACTACTGGTGCTTCTCAGAAGGTGAAGAATCTGTTTGCTCTGCACTGCTGGAAAAGGAAAAAGGAAAAAACCAGCCCTTCCCAAAGCCTGTGCTGCAGGTGGGAAGGGGAGCTTCCCAGAGCTTCAGGTGGGTGCAGAAACGTTGGCCCAGCAGTGCAGCAGCACTCTGCTATCAGCAAAGCTTCCTTATGCCATGCACAGCGTGATCGATCCGTATCGCAGCCTGGAATGACTTCTCAGTGGTCAAGAATGGCGGTTGTTTGGTTTGCTGTTGTCTTTTAAATGCCTTTTCCATTAGAATTAGTGATTATGAGCCTCTCTAAGAGGAAGAGCGTAAGTCCTTCTTCCCAGAGGGAAGATTCTGGTGTCACAGTGTTGATCATGGCAGCCTGTAAGCAGCCCTTTCTGGAGACCCAGCTACGTAGGAACAGCTCCACCTTACGGCACATGACTTTATGATTAATCTCCCTGCACCACGTGATGCTTTGCTGCCATTTCAGGGATCCGAGTTAAACTGCAGCCCTTCCACAGATGTGAAATCCTCTCCGTGTTGCTTGGATCAACTGTGTTAAAGGATGACGTGGGGATGGGAGAACTTCAGGTGCATGGTGGGGTTGTGCAGAGCTCTGCAGTGAGTCCCAGAGGAGCACGCTTATGATTCTGGCATTCTGTGCAAAGCCAAGAGGAGCTCATTCTGCAGAGCTTAGCAGCTGCTGGCTTTTGTAGCACAGGGAGCCTGACTTCTGCTGGTCTGAGGCGGCCCTTCTTCAAAAGTGGTTTCATTAAGCGTCACTCAAACCAATTCTTGAGCTGCATCCAGATGCACGTAAAGAAAACCACGGGCTGAGCCTGAAGTGAAGCCTTGGTTCGTTTTCATTCCGTGGAACAGAGCTGTGGTTCTCCAGATGAAGGCATCCCTAAGGCAGTAACCTTTCCTCTCCTCCCCAGCCAACAGAGCTCACGCTGCGTGCTTTGCTGCAGGTTTGAGGAGGTGAGATGCTCGAAGACAACGAGAAGGGCTGGAATTCTGGGCTAGGAGCGACGTGTTTTGGTGAACAGGTGGCAATGCTGTGCTCTGCTGTTAAATGGACATCCCTGTGCCTTGCTCCAGGCTGTGCATGAAGTCACCTCCGAGGATTAAGGGTAGCCAAACGAGACGTCCTAATTGATCATTTGTACTTAAGGAGGAGAAAAAAAACAAACCAAAACACTGATGGTATTTAAAAAGGTGTTGAAGCACTGATTGAAGACCCCGTGGTGTGGTTAATGTGGGTTGTGGGGTAAAACCTGACCTGATGTTTCCTTCTGACCTTGTGGTGCTCAAATGGCCCCCAGAGGAGGATGGGGATGACAGCAGAATTGCATCATGCAGCGTGGAGTGGAAGCAGCTGTTCCTGTCTCTGACCTTCAGTTTCTGACCGCCCTCATCCACGCAGACAGACCAGGAAAACGCTCCTCTGTTTATAGGCAGAGCCTGCAACTGTTCCAGTCCGTAACAGGGAGGGTGGCTTTGGGTTTTGCTTGCTTTGGTCCCAGCCTCTGGCCTGTGCAAATGTTGTATTCATTGACAAACGCGTCTCATTTCGCTCATGTTTTCTTTCACCATCACATAACAAAGTGCTTGTCCTCCTGCTCCTCTCTTTCTTGCTGTGCTGGCTGGGCTTCATGGGTGTGCTTCAGCAGCCTGCCTATGGGGAGAAGAACTAATCAGCTTAGCTGCCTGTTTCAGTTTCTCAGTGTTGTAATGAAAGAGCCTGGATGCAGGGACGCAGCCAGGACAAATCGGTGCGGGGACTGCAATTAGAAATATCAAACAGTGGGCAGCTCTGCACCAATCTCTCCATAACTGAGGTGGTTCTGGATTATTACAGCTTGGTTATGGACTACTACAGCTTGGGTTATCAAGGCACTCGCTGCTATTCATCAACGTGGGCAGAAATGTTATGGGAAGGGCCCAGCAATGAGGCCCAGCACAGCCACGTCTCCAAGAGGAAACTCAGCGAGGAGCAGCTTGGCTCTCTGGGCGAGGGGAGTGGATGGAAACGGTTTAACAGCAGGCATGGAGAAGCGCAGCGTGGTTTTTCATGTTGTTTTCCATTCTAAGGGCAGATTCCAGTTCTGACTGCAGGGACTTCTGCTCTGTGCTGTTGTCTGATCGTGCTTTTCTCTCCTCAGTTGGACCATGGCTTTGCTCTCCATGCGGCAGCCAAGGATTGCTTCAGTTCTGTTGTCAGCCAGGATGTCCGAATCCCAGCAGAAAAACCAAGAGCGATTTTCTGTACCAACGAGGGCGACCCGGTGAGTCCCTGCTGCCAGGGAGAGGAGCCCACATTCCATCTGTGGGTGTGTGGAGCCAGCAGGGCTTGCTGGGGTGGCTTCTGGGCACCACAGAAAGGAAAGTGGCGACCCCCAGCCCAAAGGAAAGCAGGCTGTGGCCGTGCAGTTTAAAACAAGGCCTGGATTTAAGCAAGGCAGGGCTGCTCCGCTGCCTCAAATCCTCCCGGGAGCAAATATTGATTCCTCCTCTGTCGTTGCGCAGATGAAATAGACTGATATATTGCACGGGCTCAGATGTGGCTTAGCTTGTCATGAGACACCATTAATTTCGACTCCGGGGTTCTTCTTCCCTGACTAACCTCCCCAAATTGGCTGTGAGGGGGGGATGAAAAGCAAACCCCAGATAACCTCAGCGCGGCGTGGCTCTGCAGCATCATTCCAGCCCGCTGCTCTTCGTCTCCAGCACAAAATGAAGTGGGATAAATGAATGGAAGAAGCCTTTGAGATGCTTTTCTGCTGCCTCTGTAATTGGAGTCTTTCAATACTGATTCCTCAGGGGTCTCTATGGAAACAGCAGCATGCAGATGATCTCGCTCACGTGGTCTGAGCGTCTCTATAGATCGCACAGAAGGGTCCAGATGGCAAGAATTGTCTCTGCTGTCCTGTGCCTCCAATCCACGTTGCTGGGCAACTGGCTTTGGCATTCTGACTTCACGTGCCTGATGTTGGGTGACAACCAGCATCTCCATTTCTCCGCTCGGTTCCTCGAGGTGCAGCACTGCAGGCTGCGCGGGGAGCAGAGCGGCGCTGGGTTGCTTCATCAGCAAACCTCATCATTCCAACTGGGCTCCTACGTGTGCGCAGTAAAACCCCATTAAAAGTGGATTAAGAAGGCCAGGTGAAAGCTAAATTCTTAATGAGGCTTTGCTTTTTTTTGATATACCTTTCTGTTAGCAGAGCTCAGAGTGACTTAAACACGGTGGTAAAGGTAGGAAGCACTTTGCAGGTGTGGCAGCTGAGGGTGAAGGAATTTGCCTGAGGTTATGCAGCAGTGATGAAACAGAATAAAACTGATCTCTGGAGCAGCGCCATGCAGAAACACAGCTGCTGGTCAAACCATTCCTTATTCAAATAATAGATAGCAGGGAAATTATCCACCCAGGGGCTTAAAGAAAATACATTTGAGTCTAGCAGGCAACTCTGAGGGCGATCACAGTGCCGTTAAGGTGTGCTGGTGATCAGGAGGAGAAGTGGAGCAGTAGAGGATTAGATACTTCATAAAGCATAGGGTGCAGTGCCTGTGAAACACAGCAGCTTGTGCACAAGCTCAGGTGCGCTGGAGATTTCCTTTGGCAGTAATTCTCTGATACCACAATTCCTGCCTGACTTCACTGTGTGGTTCTTCTGCCTGTCAGTAAGCCGGTCCTTGTGTTGCCTGTGTGATCCCTGTGTGCAGAACGGAGTCAGGCTTCAGAGTGTTGCAGTTTGCTCTTTGCCTCCCCAGGCCAAGCACAGTGAGCAGCACGAGGGTCAGCATTACAGCATTCCTCTGGAGGAGGTGAAGGCTGTTCTCCCACATGGGCTGCCCCCTCGTTTCCAGCAGCAGGTAAGCCTGCATCAGAGCACGTTTGTGTGAGTGCTTCCGAGATGATTGCATCAAGCAGCAGCAAAGATGTTCTGATGGACTGAGGCATAATGCTGATTTGCCTCTGCTGGTGCCAGAAGGAAAGGCCTTTGATGGTGCCAGTCAGAGATGCTAGGAAGAGCTGCGGTGTGCTGACGCGTGGCTCCTTGTTCTTGTCCTGTTCTCAGATCAAGACCTTCAGAGAAGCCCGCATCATGGTGCGAAAGCCTGCTCTGGAACTTTTCACATACCTGAAGAACTCCAACTTCGCCCACCCCGTCGTCAGATACGTGATTTGTATCTTTTATCGCTCGGCTCGGTGGTGGAACACGGGTTAAACACAGGCAGGTGAACGTGAGCACATGAGGGCAGCATTTTGCTGAATCACAGAATCTCAAGGTTGGAAACGACCTGCAAGATCATCCAGTCCAACCCCCCTCCCATTCCTATCAGTACCACAAGCACTAAACCACATCTCGTAGCTCCTCATCCAGGCACCTCTTGAACACCACCAGGGACGGCGACTCCACCACCTCCCTGGGCAGCCATTGCAGTGCCTGACCACCCTTTGGGAGAAAAAGTTTCTCCTAATATCCAACCTAAACCTCCTCTGGTACAACTTCTGGCCGTTTCCTCAGGTCCTACTGTTTGCCTGGGAGAAGAGGCCAGACCCTCTTGCACCACAGCCTCCCTTCAGGAAGTTGTACAGTGCAGTGAGGTCTCCCCTGAGCCTCCTCTTCTCCATGCTGAACAATCCCAGCTCCCTCAGCTGCTCCTCATAAGATTTGTGCTCCAGACCCCTCACCATTTCATTGCCCTTCTTTGAACACGTTCCAGGGCCTCGATGTCTTTCTTGTAGTGAGGGGCCCAAAACTGAACACAGCACTCGAGGTGCGGCCTCACCAGTGCTGAGTAGAGGGGGACAATCGCCTCTCTGCTCCTGCTGGCCACACTATTTCTAATGCAGAAATATTTGCTGCATGCTGAGCTCTGTGCTTCGTCCTTCAGGAGCTGCCTCTGCCTCATCTGCTGTCAGCAGAGTCACCCGGAGAGGTTCCCAAAGCTGATGGTCCTTGTTGGGGCACAGCTCCACCAACGGTGGTGTCAGCACAACCGAGGGAATGGGAATCGCAGCCCTGAAGTCCTGAGAGAGGGGGGAAATGTGGGGAGAAGGAATTCTTCAGCCTTGCTTTGCTGCCGGATGGAACTCCATCCTGGCTTTTACGACCTTTGCGCTTCCTTTATTCTTTTTGCCAAACAATTTACAGCTGCTTCATGCTACGTCCGAAGCTTTTTGTTGGAGATTTTCCTTGACAGACTGCGTTGGAGACGGTGAGAGAGGAACTGGGAAAACCATGACGCTGTGCCACGTGGTTCACTTCTGCGCACGGCAGGGCTGGCTGGTGCTGCACATCCCGGATGGTAAGGCCGTGTCAGGTACACACAGCCGTCACTGCTATGGGAGATACAGAGCTTTAGGGCAGCACACTGAAAATGACGGGTCTGTGCCACCTCTGTCCTCACAGGACTTTGTCCATCAGTGCTGGCAGACTCCTCTTGTAAATGCAGCAGAATGAGGACAAGGGATGCAGCCACGTTGTACATTTTGACTGAAAATAGCAACTGCTTTCCTTTGCTTGCAGCTCATCTTTGGGTGAAGAACTGCAAGGAGCTCATGCAATCCTCCTACAACAAGAAGAGGCTCGATCAGCCCCTGCAGGCGTCCTTCTGGCTCCGGAACTTCAGAACCACAAATGAGAGCTTCCTAAAGGAGGTTTGTAGGGGCTGCCAGGCTGTTGGTTTGTAGCCACGAGAGATCATCACCGCAGGATGGCCTCTCTGGGACCACGTGTGTGTGCTTCTGTTCTGTCAGCACCTCGAGGTGAAGCCTGCGTGCACCCATCGCTGGGAAGCGCTTCGTGTGGTGATGCATGCGCTCACGTTGCACACATAAAACCTCTCCGTTGCTAGAATGCAGTTCTTTAAAAAGAAGTAATATGAATCCCTCTGTAGGAATGGCTGCCTTTGCATTACCGCATTGGTTTAATTGCTGTTTTCTCTTACGCAGATAAAAACACAACAAAAATATGTGTGGAGCAAACGAGACAGCACAGAGCAGGGCAGGCCGCTGGGAGAGGTGGTGGAGCAGGTAAGGAGCTGCCTCGCTCCGTCTCGGCTTCTATCAGAGCATTGCATCGTTGCTTTTGTAAAGTGGGATTGCTTCAGAGGTCTGTCATACCTTCCCCACCCCTTCGGAAGGGCAGGCAGCGCCCCAGCAACCTGCATTAAGGAGAACAGCCTGAGTTGTGTTCCTTTTCCTCCTGGAAGGGCTTAACTCGAGTGAAGAATGCCAGCGACGCGGTTGGGGTGGTGCTGAAGGAGATCAAGCAGCAGAGCTGTCTGGGTTCCTTCAGGGTCCTGGTGGCAGTGGATGGAGTCAATGCGCTCTGGGGAAGGACAACGTTAAAGAAAGAAGACAAAAGCCCTGTAAGAAGAGAGTGTGAATGTGTGTGGAGAGCAGGGGGGACGCACTGTTTTAATTTAGGTTCAGGAGTGACCCCTCCTGTGAAGTCATACACACCGAAATGCACGTTTGGCTCTGCCAGCTTGGAGGGATGTGCAGAATACAGCCTGGGCTTCAGGCAGTTTTAACTGAGGGAAGTTGTCTCAATGGGGAAAAGATTCAACGTTCAGATGGCAGGGAAGGTTTGGGGGCTTCTGTGTAGCGTTACTGGGGCTCAGTAGGGTTAAGAAAGAGCGAAGAAGGGATGCACCTGAATGATGCACACAAATAATACTTCCAAAGTAATTTAAAGGGGGGGAATGTATTCCCACGTAGAAACTGCTGACAAGCAGGAGTTGTACCGTCCCCTCTTTGCCAGGTTTCTCCAGAGGAGCTGACGTTGGTGTACAACCTGAGGAAGATGATGATGAATAATTGGGTGAGTTTTGGCCCTTTACTGTAGGCGTCGATTAAAGCTCCTGCTGAGAAGTGTGAAGCTGCAGCTGTTTCACTGCTCCTTCAGTGAAGGAGAGCACAGTGCAGCTGCTTGGGGTCAGCATCAGGCAGATGTTTGGCAGCAGATGTAAGAATGTAACAGCAGCTCTGTACGCAGCCATGCCTTCCTTGTATAGTTTGTAACTCACTTCCTGAGACCCCAGGATTCACCGGCTGGTAATGATGTTGCAGTTGATGATTTTGTTGAACTAAGGAGAACTGTTTGGATTCCTCAGTTACACTTGTTCCTCAAGGCAGCGTTTTGGAAGTCTGAGCTGCCATGGGACGCTGCCTGGAAGCTGCGTCCATCTCACAGTGTGCTCTGCCCCTCTGTTTCAGAACGGGGGTGCTGTTGTGACAACACTCAGCCAGACCGGTTCCCTCTTCAAGCCCAGCTCTGCCCATCTGCCCCATGAGCTGCTGGGAAAGGTGAGCAGCCACGGCCTCTTCTCTCCTTTCCTTGGGAAACAAAACCTCAGTTTGGAGCTGCGCTCAGCCCCAAGGTTGCAATGTATGCTCTCCTCTTCCTTGAGCTCAAACGCACCTTCGTTCCCTTTGGAATTCCAGGAGGGGTTCGATGCTCTGGATCCCTTTGTCCCCATCCTGGTGCCCAACTACACCGAGCTTGAGTTCGAGAGCTGCTACCAATACTACCTCCACTGCCGCTGGCTGCAGCACGACAAGGGTGAGTGCCCGCCTCACTGGCTGGGGGCTGCAGCCCGGGGTCTCCCCCTGTCCCCTCTCAGTGCCTCCTCTCTCTTGCAGCGCGCACGGAGGACGGCAAAGAGGAGCTGCGCTTCCTGAGCGGCCGCAACCCGTGGCAGCTGGAGCGGCTGGCGGCGCCGCTGTAGTGAATAAAGGCTGCGCTGCGCTGCACAGCACGTGTGTCCTTGGGGGCGGGGCTTCGGGAGGGGCGGGGCATTTCGGTGATGGCGCGCTGATGAGATAGGCGGAGCGGAGGAAGGGGGCGCGGCTTCTACGTGACGTACTTCCGGTGGCGCCGCCAATGAGGAAGGTGCAGAGCGGCGGCGCGCGATGGCGGGCGAGGCGGTGACGCTGCAGCTCGGGCACTACGCGGGCTGCGTGGGCGCCCACTGGTGGGGACTGCAGGTGGGACCGGGCGGCCGCGGCCGCTGCCGGGCGGTGCGCGGGGAGCTCCGCTCTCAGTTCTTTCCGTCCTTCCCCCGCAGCGCCGCCCCCCGCCGGGCACCGAACTGAACCACGCCGCGCTGCTGCGGGCCGGGCGGGAGGGCTGCACGCCGCGTCTGATCGCGTTGGAGCTGAAAGGTACGGCGGCTGCGGACCCCTCCCGGTGACCGCCCCGCTCCCGGTGACCGCCGTCTCTTGCAGGCGGTGTGGGCCCGCTGGGGCGCGGCGGGGTCCGCCCGGAGCCGCTGGCGGCGTGGTGAGTAGCGGGGGGTGCGGGAAGGAGCGGCGCTGCCGGCAGCCGCTGCCACTGTGCGTTGTTTGCAGGCGCGGGGATGTGGCCAACTACGCGGAGCCGGGAACCGGGACAGAGGTGCGGGATCGCGGGCAGCGGCCGGTGAGGGAACGGCGGGGAACGGGCGGGGGAAGCGCTGCAGCCCCGACGCTCCCTGCCGGGCTCCGGACTCGCCGCGGGACGGGCGAGGTTTCCGTCCATAACCGCCCTTGCTGGGCTTTTTCTGTAGGGAGACGCTTCAGCTGATGGACACGGCAGCTCCAGCGCTTCCGTTCAAGGTGTGTGCGCCTCTGTTCCACGGCTTGCGCTGTCCGTGCGGCTTTGGTTCAGTTGGTGAAGACGGAAGCAGCAGCAGCATAAGGGAGGGCACAGAGTAACATCTCCTCGCATAGAGAAGTGGTAGAAAAGAAGCGAAGAGCTTCAACCATCCCAGCCAACTGCAGGAGGAGCTTTTCTTTCTCCTTTTTTCCATTCGAGGGGAGATTGAGAGTGGAAAAGACTTTCTTGGTTCTTCCTTCTCTCCCCAGATGCAGCCCCAGGCAGCAGCACGCAGCTCTGGTCCGATTATCTCAGCGTTCAGCTGCACCCCAGGAGCATTTATGTCCTCCAGCAATACAACCACGATGGGTACGGCTGAGCACAGAGACACGCAGCCTTTTGCCCATGGATCTGTTACCCAGAACAGGGATCTTCACTTTGCCTTCACATAAATATGAAAGAGTGGAATAAGAGCTGATCCTGCTTGCTTGCTTTCTTTTGTAGGGATTCTGGTCGTCTGGAAGCCTTTGGGCAAGGAGAAAAGCTCCTGCAAGATGTTGGCTGTATGGAAGAGCTGGAAGATCGCCTGCACTTCTTTGTTGAGGAGTGTGATTATCTGCAGGTGTGACAGCATCGTCTGAGCTCCTCGTTTCATTTCCCCTGCTTTAGCATTAAGCAGCAGCTCACAGCCCGGCCCTCACTTTGCACAGGGATTTCAGGTCCTCTGTGACCTCCACGATGGCTTCTCTGGAGTTGGTGCCAAAGTGACAGAACTGCTGCATGATGAGTATTCAAGAAAAGGAATCCTGACCTGGGGCTTGACTCCAGTCACTCCTAACGTGGGAGTAAGTAAAGGGGGAAAAACCCCACCACAACAGGTGAAGCTATTCTGTCCCATCAAATTACGCTATTTGTCTGCATCTTTTTTTCATTTCCCCCCCTTCAGGATCCTCAGAAGAACTTCTACAGAGTGCTGAACACAGCCCTCGGCATCGCGCACCTCTCTGCTCACAGCTCCCTCTTCTGCCCTCTGTCACTCAGCGGCAGTTTAGGAATCAAACCCCAACCTCCCGTTGCGTTCCCCTACCTAAACTACGATGTAAGTCCCGTGCCACATCTCCCCTAAGAGCAGTCGATGTACCACTGAAGCTGTGTATGTTTCAGTGATGTATTTGACAGCGTTTGCTCAGCAGAAACAATAACGCCTTTTCCCCTTTGTTAGCAGAGCCCAAATTGCTGCTTTACCATTTTTGTATTTTACGTCAAAGTTCACTGATTTTTATTCACGTTGCTCAAGGAGCAGAAGGACTGACCTCGTCCTTCAGCACTGCCCTGTGCCCCTTCTGCAGGCGTCCCTCAACTACCACAGCAGTGCAGTTCTGGCAGCAGCGCTCGACACCCTCACGGTTCCGTACCGCCTCTGTTCCTCTCCGGGCTCCATGATGCACCTTGCTGAGATGCTCAGTTTCTCTGGGAGAAAGGTAAGGGCTGTGAACGCAGCAACCTCCAACTCCTTCAGCTCTATGGGACCCGCGGCAGGAGGATGAGTCCAGTGTCCAGTTTTGGGCCCCTCACTGCAAGAAAGATATTGAGGCCCTGGAATGTATTCAAAGGAGGGCAACAAAGCTGTGAGGGGTTTGGAACACAGGGCTGATGAGGAGAGGCTGAAGGAGCTGGGAATGTTCAGCCTGGAGAAGAGGAGCTCAGGGGGGACCTCATTGCTCTCTATGGCTGCCTGAAGGCAGGCTGCAGTGAGCTGGGGGTCGGCCTCTGCTCTGGTGTCATCAGTGATAGGAGCAGAGGGAACGGCTTCAAGCTACGGCAGGGGAGATTCAGGCTGGACATGAGGAAGTGTTACTGTTCAGAAAGGTGGTCAGCACTGCAATGGATGCACAGGGAGGTGGTGGAGTCACCGAGCCTGGGGGTGTTGAAGGAAAGGCTGGATGTGGTGTTGAGGGACGTGGTTCAGTGGGAGCTGTTGGGAATGGGGGAACGGTTGGACTGGATGATCTTGAAGGTCTTTTCCAACCTTGGTGATTCTATGATTCTATGAGGAGCACGATGCAGACCCTGAATTTGTCACCTCTCTCCACTCAGGTTGTGGCTGCGTGGGCTGCAGTTCCCTTCCCCGCTGTGCGTGGCCACTCGCTCCCAGATGCTTTGTGTGCACACCAGCAGGACGTGCCCTGGAAGCTTCTGTCCTCGTGTAGGGAGCAAAAGGTCAGCCGCTGTTTTGCTCAGTCTGTTGTGCTAAGAGGAATTTGCAAAGAAAACCCAACCAGGTAATGAACACTTCAACGAAGCTTTTTCTGGCACGTCTGTCAGAAATCATCTCTTACACTCACTGTCCATCAGGAGTGTGGGTCAGATTCAGAGTGCAGTGATATCATTTGCTATTGGCTGCATAGCAGAGCAGTTAAAAAGCAGCTGAGTCACCAATATCTTCATTCACATCCCCCTGAAAACTTTGGATTTGTTCTCTCTGCTGCAGCTGCCCAGGACAGCAGCCGCCTTCTCCGCTCCATGCCTGTGAGACAGCCGAGCAGGTGCTGCAGTGCTATTTGCACACTGTGTTTCCCGGGGCATTCAGGTTGGTAAGAGGCTCCTTAGGGATCCCTGCACGGAAATGGAGGACAGAGTTTGGGGTAACTTCATTCAACTTCTTCCTGGCAGCGCATCCCTTGTTCTCGAGCAGCCGTGTGTTACTGTACCTCCATATCCCCACATCTTTTCTTCTCTTCTGAGCAGACAAGGCTTCCTCCCAGACGATCTTTCTAGTTATTCTGCAGCAGGTAACGTGGCCCCTTGCAATTATTGTGCAATAGAAAACAACCCTGTAAGGCAGAAGGGTCTAACAAAGGTACAGGATCCCTTTCTGAGTTTGCAGAGCAAGAAAGGATGAGCAGCAGCCAACCTCTGTGCTGCACCGAGTGCAAGCAAAACGGCTGCTTATCAACAGCACTGGGGAGCAGAACTGGGAAACCAAGTTTTGATTCCTGTGTTTAAACCATTTTCTCCTGCAGCTGTTGAAAGCATCCCTGTGCTGACATCACTGCAGTCCTCACCAGCCCTGCGCACGCTCCTGTCTGATCTCTGCAAGGACCTCCAGAAGTTGGGCACTCGGCGCTGTGCCAGCTTCTTTGCTGCAGGAGTTGAAGAGGACGACTTCCACGAGGCCTTGCAGGAGCTGAGAACTCTGTCCCAGTGCTACGAAATGGGTTTTGAAGGCGGTAACTCTGAGGATGAAAGCGACTCGGATTGATGGATTTTATTACAGGAGACAGGGGAAGGAAGGAGATTCTTGAGATTGCTTTCAGAATAAAGGGAACGGCTCTGAAAATGGCCCAACTGCGACTTTTGCTTTATTTCAGACGATTAAAAGGCTGGCTGGAGTGGTGCAGTCTACTTGCACTTGTGTTCTCAAGCAGGAAAGCTGCTCTTCTTGACTTTGCACCCAACTCATGTGCTTTAGAGTCAGACCACACAATAAATACCATCTGAATTCTGTTAACTTTCCCATATACAATCAACACAAGGGAAAAAAATTTACAGAAAGTCTTGTGTTCCACATGAAAACAGGCATCTTATGATACAGTATTTACATGCAAAGGTAGAACGGCCCAGATCTTTACCCCAGACAGAACCATCACTGCTGTCATCCTGCTTCTGAAGTGCCTCACACTGATTCTAAAGGAGGATCTCCCTCTTTGTTCCCTTAGTTCAATGCAGATGGAAAAGTGCTGCTTGGCAGAAACCCAAGCGAACCACAAGAAAGGTGCCACCAAGTACCTGCAGAAGCATTTTTCCTCTGTTAGCTGCAGCAAAAAGCTCTCCTGCTGCAGCCAGGAAAGCCTCAGTCGTCGGGTTCCTCCTCAGAAAGCAGGAGGTCTTTGTCTGACAGCTGGTCTGCATTGCTGGTGCTCGTTGCATCCTCCTCATCTTCTGAGCTCCCATCACAGGATGTGTGGAACAGCTTCATCAGTTCCCTGAACCTGTGGGATACCTGAGGGAGAAGGGAAAGCCAAACTGAGCAGGGGCCTGAAAGGCGACAGGAAAGAGGAGTTTCAAGTAGAAATTCCTTGGTATGAAGGTCAGGCTTTATTTGTATTTTTTTAAGCATAAAAATATGAGATTTTATCCCAGCCTCAAATCCTAAAGGCAAATTAAAACG